CGACTTTGTTCCAGTTTTGAATTTTGGCCCACTGTGTATTTGAGTTTGACACCCCTGATCTATAGCATCCTCTGCAAAAATGAAGACACAGTGTTAGAGTCCGATCCCTGTGACGGTGTTTCAGTCGATCACACAGAGAAAAACAGTAATATTAAAACATCACACATGGGAGTAATATTACATTCATTAAAGTACCTGACCCACACAGCCATCACGTATTATTGCTTTAGTTGCACATTTATACAGAGAAATGAAGCAGCCAGCAGCTCCATCAGAGCGATCAGGACATTTTATAAGATTATTATTACAAAAAAAAGTCTAAGTCCAGATTGTATTGTGGGACTGGAGTTAATTTAATTTATTGTATAAATGTGCGAATCTGCCATCAGCCCAGTCAATAGTTACTCGTTATTAGTCGATCGGTCGTTAAGTTTTCGCTCTGTAGCATGCAGTAGCCCAACACTCAGCCCTCATTAAACCCCGACCTCCGTCTGTGTTGGTTTTACTTTATCGATGCAGAATCACAGTCGTTGATCTTACCAAGTTCTTTCGCCGGCTGATTGCAGCCGATCGCTTCCAGGATCTCGAGAGCCACCGTCAGAGCCCCCTCCTCGGTAAAAGCAGACACCAGCACGTCTGTGATCTCCAGACGGCTTTTGTTCTCCACCCTGTTGCGTTTCACCCGCGGCTCTTCTCTGCGGTCAAGAACCTGGTGCCAGAACCTCTCAAAATCCCCCTTTGACAGGTTCTCCAGAGTGTCTGCCAAAGTGGATGTAATAGTTTTGGCCATTCTTCACCGAGATCCAAGACTGAGCCTCTGATTGTAACCGCTGTTGCTTTCTCGTGTGTTGCCAGAGAAGTTAACTACGTAATTCCTTTCTGAGCAATTCGAAACTATAGTCAAGAGAAAAAAAAGATACATTCAAATGCTTTCGGAAACAGAAGACCTCTAATGAAAGCAAATGGACACGAGTACTTATTAAAATAGCTCAGTCTGTTTCACGAGTTTTACAGATTATTTCAGTGTAGTGGTTTCACAAGCCCATTTATTTATTTATTTATTTATTTATGTATTTTGTTATTGTCATGTTGCATCGGAGCAAACACAGCATCTCCAATTCTCTGTCGGACACCTTTATCAAAGTTTTATTCTAAACTTACACAGTCTTCTTTAACCGTGCCACCACAAGCCCAAAACATTTCAGCCTTTCTAAAGTAACATAAGGACACTGCGATGTTTGTCAGCATGGAACAAATGAGAGAAGCCCATTAATTGCAGGTCCTCAAAAGCTCACTGGATGAGTCACAAGCAGTAAGTAACAAGCACAGTTACAGTTACACAATTCCTCGTTCATCACTCATTTCCAGCCAGCCACCTCATACATCACATCCGTTTATTACAGTATAACAGCATATTTTCAAGATATGAGTGCTAACAACAACATTTCAGTCTTTTAGAGAAACACAAACAACTTTCATATTTCGGGACTCACAAGTCAGTGACACCACCGCTTAAATCCAAAGGCGATAAACTCACCATGCTCTCTGTTCTCCTTCCTTTTTTGAGCACCATTTGTTTGCTTTTCTTGCTAAACATAACAATTTAAACTGCTGCTGCACCGGCTAACTAGAAACTCGGACAGGACTAGGACACTGCGATGACAAACATCGCAGTGTACTTGTACTCTTGTACAAATGAGAGGGAGCAAGGTCCGGATGTATTAGTAATGTATTTCCCAGCATATAAAACATTTCAGAAAAATCAGTGGACTGTGTAATGACTGTAAATTGAAAGTGAAAGCTGAAAAAATAAGGAAAATGTAAACTGCATAACAACAAAGTAGAACCATGTCATGAAAAAATAATGTCAGTGTTCCAGAGAACAGGGTACAGTGAAATGTTTTTCTGCTTACTTCCCAAGCAACAAAAAGAAGAATCCATTTAATTCATGGACGTGTTTTAATTTAGTGGATGAAAAAATAGTGCAGTTTACAATACACAACAATAACAACACAGTGAAAATAAAAGTGCCACAGGTCCCCAGTAAGAGCTTTATACTATGAGAGACTGCAGGAATTTCTATTTACAACAGTGATGAAAAACAAAGAAAGTAAAATCAGTTAAAGTTAGTTAAAACATTAAAAATGACTCTGAGATTGTGTAAGACAGCTGTACAAATTGCATTAATAAATGATATGTGCACTATAAATGTAAGAAAAACAGCTGGATGAAGCTATAATAGAAAATATGTTTGGGATCTTGTGCCTGACAGGTGTGTTCACAGAGTGAAGGATTATTATACAGATATATTTAAAGAATGGTAGGAATGATTTCCTGAAGCGTTCTTTATGGCATCAGTGGGAGAAGGAGAGTGTGGAGTGGAGCGGGAGTGAAGCTTGTCCCTGATGGAGAGCAGTTTGTTTGTTTGTTCAGTGACCTTTGACCCTCACTGACTCAAACGCCTCAAAATTCTGATGCTTCTAGCTTTGCAGATTAGTTTATTAATTTATACAATATAATTAAAATTTATTATATTTATTTAACTTAGACTGTAAATTTAATATTACAGAACATGTTCTTCATTAAGAACACAAAGTTT